GTATGAGCCAGCATGCCCAGTCAAGGCCATATACTTTTAGGAGCAGAACTCTAAAACAGCAAATCCCATCCATCTCCTCTGATACCCAGCAATGGGTAATCATTTACTCCCATAGCTACCAGGCATCTGTATGCAAAATCCTCACTTTGAATGAGAGCTAGAATTTTAGCCCATCACGTCTATACAGCAGTCCCTCTACACTAGGTGAAAGAGTGGGCTCTGTCACAGTACATACAAAAATCAATCATTTTAAACTTGCCTCATTAGGATTCTTTTCTTGTACTTAAAAAAATTTTTAAAAAAGATTTGTTGCTTTTATTTATGTGTATTTGTATGAGGCTGCATAAATTTAAGATTACCACAAGCATACAGGTACTTTTGAAAGTCAGAGGGTGTTGATCAGATCCTCTGGTACTGGAGTTACAGGCAGCTGTGAGCCACATTACATTAGTGCTGGGAGCCAAATTCAGGTCCTTTACAAAGGCAGTAGTCACTCTTAGACCACTAAGCCTTCTTCTCTCCAGCCCTTTTTTCATGCTTTTTAAAGGCAGACATAAAAGTTCTGGCCATCCTTATCAATAATGACCAGGATGTTCTGCTCATATTGCTTTTGTTCCTCTTTATAAGCTTCTAACAGTAAGATAATAACTTTTCTTTTCAAAATCCAACTCAAAAGAGAAATGTTTAGTTTAGGGTAAGGACAAGAACAGAAAATGAGAGCCTGTGACACAGCTCAGAGTGCTTACCTAGTACCCTCAAATCCCCAGTACTGCACAAAGCTAGGTGTGATGTGATGGCACATGTTTGTAATCCCAGCACTCAGGAGGTGAAGATAGATCATGAGTTCTGGGTAATCCTTGGCTATACAGTGATATCCCATTTCAAAGACAAAACAAAACAAAACGAACAACAGTGGGCTTAGGTAAAAAACAGAGTTGCAGTTGCCTCTTTCAGAGATAAGTAGCTCCTAACAAGTTAATTAAACCACCCAGCTCTACTGCATTGGTGATTGAAATGGTCTAGCCCTGTGCTGCCCTGTATGTTAGCCACAAGCCATATGTGGTTGATGAGCACTTAGAATATGGCTAGTGATGTGGTTAATACACTAAGGAAACGAACTGTTAGTTCTGCTTGATTTCAGTATATGCAGATTCAAGTTGGCATGCGTAACTAGTGGCTCCCTAACTGAACAGCAGCTCTGGGTTGTTAGTTAATGATTCCCAACCATAGGCAATTCTGCCCACCCCATCTGGAGCCATTTTTAATTGTCACAGCTGGGAGTGTACTGCTAGAACCTAGTGGATGGAGGCCAGGGATCCTGTTAAACATGTTGCATTGCAATGAACCTCCCACACATAAGAATCAGTTGACACAAATATCAGCAGTTGAGGAGCTTGAAAAATTCTGTCCTGAGTTTGCTCATGGGTGGAGTTTAAAGCAAACATAAAACAAATTGCAGCACACCTTGTCTAAACAGAATATCCGGGAAGAATGACATTTTTCATTCAACATAAAAAGGTTTAAAGCAGCAAGACAATACTGAAAAATGAATGTGGTGAAAACTGGATATGGTCTCTCATACTTCTTGTGTTAGTACTGACTTGAATATTAACATAATATTAAAATTATCCAGGACCAAGTTTCTTTTTGTTTTTCAATTGTTTTTCTTTATTTATGTATACGTGTGTGTGTCTGTATGCATGCCATATTTGTGCAAGTACTTTCTGAAGCTAGAGAGGGTGTCAGATCTCCTGAAGCTGTAGTTACAGGTGATCAAGAGCCATCTTGGATCCTCTGAAGGAGAAGTACACACTCCTAACCACTAAGCCATCTCTCTAGCTCCAGAACCCTGTTTCTTACATGTTGAAGATAAGGTGCTAGAAGATATCTAGCTTAATTTTTTTTTCAGATTTATTTTATATGTAATGGGTGTTCTGCCTGCATGTTTGTCTGTGCACCACATACACATATCTGAGGCCAGAAGAGGATACTGGATCCCAAGGAGGTGGCGGTACAGATGGTTGTGAGCCATCATGTGGGTGCTGGGAATCAAACCTGGGTCCTCTGGAAGAACAACAGTGCTCTTAACCACTAAACCATCTCTCCAGCCCCCTAACCATTTTTATTTTGCAGATCTACTTATAAAGAACTATTATCAGAGGAACAATCACCTCAGTTTTTCCCAGTCTCTCTTTCTACTCTCAGTTTGAATTCCTTGTCCCTTCCATTAGCCTATCTGGTGTGGAGTCATCACTCATTTTAGATACCACTGTGAAAGAAAACCAAATTAAGGTAAGGAAAGGGATTATCCTGTCAGATTTGCAAGTTTGCATATCACCTCAAGAAAAAGCAGAGGTACACAGACAGTTATAGTTTGATGAAGGGACATGTATGGAGTGATTCTACTGAGTGATGATCACATACTATATTCTAGAGCAGTGGTTCTTAACCTCCTTAATGCTGTGACCCTTTAATACAGTTCCTCATGTTGTGGTGACCCCTAACCATAAAATTATTTCATTACTACTTCATAACTGTAATTGTGTTACTGTTATGAATTGTAATGTAAATGTCTGATATGCAAGATATCTGACATTCTACTCTTGTTGGGTCGCAACCCACAGGTTGAGAACCACTGTCCTAGAGGACATGATATTGAAGTTTCAGAGGATGAATATCAAATAACATTGTGGTTTCTGTGGCTCTATAAATTATACATGGAAAAGATGAAGCAGGATTATTCAGGAACTACTCAAATAGCTCTCAAATTTACATTAGAAATACAGACTCTAGCCCAAATTAGCTTATTCCTCAAAGAAATAGGAATGGACATAATTCAATGTTTCACTTCAATCCAAACTATTTTTTCAGAACAAAGTCATCTAATTCTTATTACATCAAAGACTTTCCTGTCCATTTATCATTAACAGAAATTATTCATTATATCTAAAGTGCTCTATTACTTCATAGAATATAAAAATAAGAGCCCTAGCTTCCCTCCCCCTCCCCAAGACAGGGCTTCTCTGTGTAGCCCTAGCAGTCCTGGAACTCACTCTGTAGATCAGGCTAGCCTCGAACTCACAAGATCTGCCTGTTTCTGGCTCCCAAGTGATGCAACTAAAAGTTAGCTTTTAAAACAAAACTTACATTTATAATTTTCACACTAGCCTAAGGCAGGGACTTTCAGCTCACATATTCTGAATTCCTCAAAGTTCAATGCAATTTAAGTTCCAGCCCTTTCTTTAAGCATGCTGGAGTTTCAGTACCTCTTCAGATCTTCTTTGGAGGGTTTAAAATATCTTATCATCACTTAATACTCAGAAAAATTTACAGTAGGATTCCTAACCACTTTTAGTTTACAGATATTCTCAGAGGAAAGATCATCTCAGTTCTTTCAGGTTTCTAATGTAATGACATAAAGCCGTGTTAAGAAATGAGAAACACAGAAAGGTCATTTTCAGCATCATTTTGTATTCAACTACTGGAGTTACACACATGATCTCAACCAGTTTCCTCAGCTTCTGCATTGCTAATACTTCTGATATGTGGAACTGTCCTGTGCAACAGAGGATATTCAACAGTGTCCTTGATTTCTTCCTACTAGGTCCCAGCAGTACCTCTCTTGTGACACTCTGGTCTAAAACATCTCCAGAAATTGCCAAAAGTCCCCTGGAGAACAAACCTAACCTAAGTTAAGAATTACCAATCTTGAGTGAAACTCATGATACCAAAAAGTAGACACTATGCTAATCAGAAGACCAAGAGGAAAAAAAAAAAACACGTATCTTCTTCCCTGATTGTGTTCCATCCGATTTATGCTAAATAGCTGAGGAGCAAGATATGCCACTGTGTGCACATGAAGACATCTGGCTCAATTTCTACAATTACTGCCTTCAACTCTCCAGTGACAAGTGAACACAACTACAACAGCTGCTTCTTTGAAAAAGGAATTCCAAGCCAGGCATGATGACACACTCCTGTAATCCCAGCAGTTTGGGGGGCAGAGGCAAGAGACTCACTTTAAGTTTGAGGTCAGCCTAGTCTATGAGTTACAGACTAGCCAGGGTTACTTCACAAGACCGGGGGCGGGGGTGAAGGGGCGGAGTAAGAGAAACAGAGAGGGAAGAACAGAGAGGGACAGGGAAGGGTGGTGGTGGGAAAAGCAGGTTCACATCGGAAAGAGAGAAAAGACTGCGAGGGCAGAATGTTAAGCACTGAGAACCCAAGCACAGTTCTCAATTGCCCGCCCTACGGTGGGAACAACTAGAATCCATTCAACACGCCAGAGCAGTCAGCCAGGTCCACCAAGTGGCTATTGCCCCAAGGGGTAAACAGGGTAAGTCGCAGGTTACCGTGGACTTGAGGTTGATCTGAAGGCCTCTAGTGGTTCTCAGAGAGAGGAACCCAAGACCTTGTAAGACCAGCTAGGACCTCCCCCTACCCCAAATAAACTCACCATTTACAGGATACCCACCCCTTTCTGGATCCTAGGGGTTCTAGCCCCGGGTTCTCAGGCTACAGCATCGGAATCACGCGGGGAACTTGTTACACTCAACAAACTGAGTCCCCGCCCACCACAGCTTCAGACCACAGGCTGCAAATCCATATTTTTACCAAGGTCCCCAGGTGATTCCTACTCCCGCCAAAGTTCACAATTTGTCTCCTAACTTGTAAAGCACTGTGGCTTTGCAGTGGGCTCCGTGACAACTAGGACTGCTTCCTGTGCGCTTCTGGGGCTCACACTGATTGCTCCTGTCATCCCACAGGGCCAGCGCCGGTTCAGGCCCAGCCCCAAGCCGAGCCTCCGCGAAGCCAAGGCCGGCTCCCACAGCGCCGGGCCCACCTCCCTCAGCCACTCCGTCCGTGACGTAGCCGGGCCGGGGCTGGACGCCCTCCTCCGGCGAGGCTCCTCAGCCCCTGGCCCCCTTTCCCACCGGGAAACAGTCGCCCGGGAGGCGGAGACCCGGGGCCGCAGCGCCGCCCGATCTCTCCGTACCGACCTTCTCCAGGGACGCGTCCATGGCCGAGGCGTCCGGCGATGTGCCCGCGGTGCCGGACACTACTTCCGCCTCCCGCGGCCCGCAGCGGTTTCCACGCTGGCAGCGCTGACGTGCCCCGCGCCCGCAGCCGGCGGGGCGGAGAGGAGGAGGAGCTGCCCCGCGGCGCGGCCGGCAGGGACCCTGCGGCTTGCGGAAGGCGGGGCGAGACCCGGCGGGAGGGGCGGGGCCTCTCGGGGCGGGGCCTCCCGGGCTTCCGTACGCGGGCGTCACGCCGGCCGGTCCTAACGCTGCCACGTGAGGGGAACCAGGCTGTGGGAAGATCCAAAATCAACGTTGCCAGAAGCCCGTCGCGACCGTCGAGGAAGAACTATAATAAATCGCAACGTGTCATTCACCATGTAAAATAGTAGAGACTCACCAGTGCTCCCAGAGTCAGGCTTCCAAGTTCTCCGCTGTCAACACCCGTTAGGAATGGAATAGTCCGTTTACCTCAGAAGCCTGAGGCCACGCCCACGCCTGCGCATGCGCAGAACGACGACCGCCGCGCGCTCTGGGTTTTTGTGAGGTTGAACGGTGGTCACTTTAGTGACAGCTGTTTGGAACCGATGCTGATCAGAGCTGAATGTACTTCTGTCAGCTCTTCCCTCAGAATTCCAGATGGAAACGAGTTTGAGACTGCTGGTCTGGCGTCCTCCTTCATGTCACAATGATGGCTTGTCGGGGAATGGGTAATAATAATATATAATGGTAGGTCTGTTGCCTTTCCATTTTATATCACAGCAGCCGTTTGATATGGAGATCATTATTATCCGTGTTAGGGTTTAGTCCCCAGCACCGCGGCAGTACGCCGTCCAATCTCCCCTCTACTCCCGCTAGGTGGGGGTGGTGCGTTTTTAGTGAGTAGGAGCCGGCATGATTTTTTTCCTACCTGGCTCCGACTACTCAGGGGTAGCTGAAATGGGATCCACCACTGTTGCGGTCAGTGACACTTCTGGTCAGAAGACTAGTGATGATACTAAAAGCCACAAAGCTGTTCCTACCCCTTCCTGTTTCTTAGGCATCGCCTCTCAAGCCTGGGTCATATTGTCAGTGTAGTAATTATCTGCTCTGGGTCTCTACTTTGCATTTGGATAATTGGCCTGCTTGTGTTAATAAAAGTATTTCCAAGCCAAGGAAATCATGTGTATTGCTGTAGAGTGCGAAAGCGAACGACTCGCCAAAGAACTGTAAAAAAACAAAAACAAAAACAAAACCAGGAATGATGAAATGATACCACTCAAAGACTGAAAATTGAATATGCTCCTGCTTGGGCAAAACAATGTGTTATGAAATTTTCCAAACGTTTAGAAAAGTCGAAAGAATTGCAGTGAACAATCACATGCCCACTAGCTAGATTACCCAGTTACCATTTTCTGATACTTGTTTTGATTACATATGTATTCAGATAACCATCCATCAATATATGTGTTGATATTACATCTCTGAACACCTCAATATAATTAAAGACTCAATATTTAGGCAGAGGCACAAGGATCGCGCCCCTTCCCCCCAAGAGTTGGAGGCCGGTCTAGGATACATATCAAGTTCCAAACCAATCATAGCTACTTAATGAGACCGTCTCCAAACAAAACAGAACTAAGGGGCCAGCTGGTAAAGGCGATTGCCACAAAGCCTGATAACCTGAGTTTGATCCTTGGAACCTATATGATGGATGGTGAGAACCAACTCATGCAAGTTGTCCTCTGACTTGTGTGTGCATGCCCACACACTCAATATTAAAAATGACAACAAAAAAACTCTTAAAAAAATTAAAAACAACTCACAGCCTATAGAGATGGCTTAGGAGGTAAAGGCCTTTGCCACTAAGCCTGGGCTTGAATTGATCCATGGGATTCACATGATGGAAAGAAAACTGACTCTGGAGTTGTCCTCTGACCTCTGCTTGTGGACAGTGGCACACATGCACACACAAGGAGCACACAAAATAAATATGTAATAAAGAGTTTTTAAAAGAAGCTCATAAAGTTACCTCTAGGTATATGTGGATTGTTTTAAAACATAGATTCAAGCTAACTGTGGTGGCCCATGCTTTTAATCTCAGCACTTGGGAGGCAGAGGCAGGTGGATCTCTGTGAGTTACAGGCCAACCTTGTCTCAAAGAAACAAAAACAAATAAATAACAGATTGAACCTGTACTGACATATGGCTTATATATGGTGAACTTTTACATCATTAGTATTATTGAGATAAGGTCTCACTATGTAGCCTGGCTGTCTTGCTATTCACTGTGTTGACCAACTTTGAACTTGAATGAATCCTCTCATCTCCCAAGTGCTGGGATTATAGGTGTCAGCCATCACACTGAATTAAGACTTTTCTTGAGGGCTGGAGAGATGGCTCAGCAGTTAGGAGCACTTGGCTGCTCTTCCAAAGGACCAGGGTTCAATTCCCAGCACTCACATGGCAGTTCACAACTGAATGTATCTCCAATCCCAGGGGAATCCGATGCCCTCTTCTAGCCCCTGCTGTGCATTGTGCACATGGTGCACATAGATGCAGGCAAAACACCCATACACATAAAAATAATAAAATGTGAAACATTCTTCTTGAACAGGAAACCACAAACTGGGGGAGGTATGTAGTTCTTTTTTTCCTTTAAATTCCACCACATAATTTTGTTGCATTCTGAATAATTACAACCATATTGTAGATAAATATTTTAATCTTCAATGTTTAAAATAAGCCAATGACATACATGGATGATTTATTATTCACTGCAGAAATGCAAAAATGATACAAGATAGCTCAGTGTGCCTGCTGCCGAGACTGATGATCTCCAGAACCCACATTATGGAAGGAGCCCTAAAGTTGTCCTCTGACCTCCATACACACTCAAGAACACACACACACACACACACACACACACACACACACACCACAAATCAATAAATACATATAACCCAAGGTTCTTTTAAAAAATAATAACTATTAAAGAGTGTAAGGGGGCCGAGCTGTGGTGGTGCATGCCTTTAATCCCAGGACTCAGGAGGCAGAGCCAGGTGGATCTCTGTGAGTTTGAGGCCAGCTTGGTCTACAGAGCGAGTTCCAGAACAGGCTCCAAAGCTACGCAGAAAAACCCTGTCTTGAAAAACAAAAACAAAACCAAAAAAAAAAGTGTAAGGGAAGAACATGACAAATAAAGATATGGATGGAGTTACTACTATCCTCAGTTTCATTCTAGGGATACTTAGGTACTTGGGAAAAGGGCTAAGTGAAGACAGAGCTTTATTATTATTATTATTATTTTATTTTATTTTATTTTATTATTTTGCCAGGGGTTTTATTTGGTTTTGAGACAGGGTCTTGTTATGTATCCCAGGCTGGCCTCAAAACTCACAGCACTCTTTATACCTCAGCCTCTCAAGTGTTGGGATTGCAAGCATGTGCTACCATGCTCAAATATACAGAACTTTAAATGTAGTATTTAGACATAAAGAAACCCCTAGAAGAAAAAAGTAACAAAATCAGAAGTTGAAGATGATAGGCGTGATAGTGTAAATGGCAACAAATTTCTCAGTAGTTTCTAAATTAAGGAACACATCTAGCAATTCTAGTGAACATCTGTAATCCCAGCAATTGGGAGGCAGAGGCAGGATTTGAATTAGAGGATTAGAAATTTAAGGACAATATCATCATTGTAGCAAGTTCAAGGCAAGCCTTGAACTATCTCAAAAGTGGGGGAGGCACAAACTTGATGGCCTGAATTTGGTCCCAGAGCCCACAAAAAAAGATGTATATCATAGCTCACATCTGCAATTCCAGCATTTCTATGGTGAGATGAGAGGCAGAGACAAGAGAATCCACCAGTAGCTTATGGGGAGTACTGAAAGCCCCAGCAGGAAAAAACAAACAAACAAGAGAAACCCTGCCTTAACAAGGCAAGAAATGTCTCCTAAAAGTGTCTTATGCACATTGTAGCACAGGTGTGTCCCTCCTCAACATAAATAAATAAATGAAATAAAAAAGAAATAGATTCCAACATTTTAAAAAGCATACTGGACAGTTTCAGAGATGACTTTGGTAAAGAACAATATCTAGAGGGGGCCCCCAGGCAGTGGGATCAGGATCCATCCCCGGTGCATGAACTGACATTTTGGAGTCTACTATCTATGGTGGGACACCTTGCACAGCATTGATGCAGGGGGAAGGTCTTGGACCTGCCTCTACTGAATGTACTAGGCTCTTTGGACTCCCCATGGGAGGCCTTACCTTGTTGGAGGAGGGAATGAGGGGTGGGTTGGGGGGAAAGCTGGAGGGGTGGGAAGAGGGAGGAGGAGGGATCTGTGATTGGTGTGTAAAATGAATAAAAAAATTCCAAAAAAAAAAAGAACAGCACCCAGAGGTAGTAGAGGTAGCAACCCTGAGAGTACTTATATCTTAGCTTGCTTCCTTTGGGGCTAATACAGTTTTTAAAGAAACAAACAAACTGGGCACTGGCAGCACATGCCTTTAATCCCAGCACTCGGGAGGCAGAGCCAGGTGGATCTCTGTGAGTTTGAGGCTAGCCTGGTCTACAGAGTGAGATCCAGGACAGGAACCAAAACTATACAGAGAAACCCTGTCTCGAAAAACCAAGAAAAAAAAAAAAAAAGCCAACCAGAGCTATATGAGACTTGCCTCAAACAACAAAAACAACAAAGGCTGCCATTTACTTGGACAGCAGAACAGCACTCTGGAGAGCCATCTGTCCCCGAGTCTCTTGTTAAACAGTATAAAGGCCACTTAAATATGCAATCAGCACAATGGCACCTTTGGTAACTGCCTACTTTTAAGCTTGAGAGTGCCTCATGTTAAAACTGTCATAAACTGTGTCCTCTACACTATGTGTCTTAGCTGAATTCATCTGATAGAGATCATCAGGACCAGGGAAGAGAGGAGAGCAGAGAGCAAGCTTCTGGTAACAAGATGACTTACTATACAAGAGTGTATGTAGCCGTAAGTTTTCTCCAGTCCTGCCCAGCCCTGCGGTCTGTGGCCGCTTATAAAATAATCATTCAGAGGCTTAGTACTATTTACAAACTGTGTGGTCTATGGCAGGCCTCTCGCTAGCTAGCTATGGTAACAACCCATTTCTGTTCATCTGTAAGTTGCCACGTGGCTG